ACCTTTTCAAACATTTTCAGAACTTCCTTGCTGGAAAATACTTCATCAATCAGGACCAGGCAAAAAAGCCTTCGTGGATTTCGTCTCTCGACCACCCAGTTTTTTCCTTTGATGGGATTTATCGACTGGTGTCACATTGGCAAAAGTGTGCTGATTCGAACGGTGCTTATTTCGATTAAATCCGATGAGTATTAAGAAAGTTATGATCGTTCAAAGTGAAACACTCAAAACGCTGAGAACTTTCCGGACAACCTAATAGTATTAAAAAAAACTTGACTGCACCCTGCCCACCTAACTGTAAGAATTCGACTAGCCCACCGACTTATCCCTAATCAACTGCCGCTCAATCCCTACATTGTCTGAACAACAATTCGACAATCTCTCCGAAAATATCTGCAAATTCCAATCAATTTCGAATCCGTTTGTAGTGGTTGGGGATGTCGCATATAATATTGAACGGTTGAAGTCAACATACCCCCACTGAATCTTTTCTTCTCTTTTCTCCCCTTTCGTAAACATTATTTCCTTTGTAAGTTGAATATATTTCAAAGTAAGAAGAAGTTAAGGTGCAAAGAGGACGCAGTCAAACCCTATTGATTTGCAAAGCTTGGTTATTGCATTGGCATTATAACTAAAAACCCGCCACCGAAAAATTGCAGTTAAGAGGATAAGAACAGAAAACTAGCAGTTCCCATTAGAAATCTGTTCTTTCTGTCGCGTCGTTTTCAATAGAAAGGTAGGCCTTTAACTGTAATTGATAAGCATTAATATCCTACCTAGGTGTCATGGAAGACTCCTCGTTCTTCGTTTCCGTTCCTAGGATTTTTTGCATCTATAAGCAGCATTTGAGTCACTATTAGATCAAGATAAAAATCTCAACATCTCGAAGACAAAAAGCTATTAATCCCAACCATAAAATTACCTGTTTGTCCTGAACACGTACGATGGCATCGTTGCGATCCGCCTTAACCTGTATTCGATCGAGAAGCTGATTCTGCTCATCCACCTCTTTCCCTAAGTCCTGACCCAAGCGTTGGAGATTCCGTAGATTCCTCGACATTGCATCTGCAAGATAAAATTTCCCAAACACCATCGAATTTTACAGGATACCACTTCAAGCCTTTCTAAAATAACGCGGAGTACGAGATTTTTGAACTAACCCAAATTCTCATCTATCTGATTATCCATAGCTTCCCATCGAGTTCCTTTGATTGCATTTCTGCTTGTTTCACTTAATGTAGTTTGTGGTACTCCAGTGGTCCCAGAAAATGATGCTGAGGAACCGCCAGCACCTCCGAGATCGCCAACGGTTTCCGACAGTCGAGAAGCAGATTTGGATTGTGGCATTTGCTGAAAATTGTGCATTTTGGCCTCTTCAGGTTGTCTATGCAATGGAATGAAACGGAGAAATTCACTACACCACAGGTATTCAACTAGGTAATTGAGTACCAATCAATAAGATGAAAACAACAACTCACCTCAATAGGACCTTCCTGTGGTTTACGACTGAATTTATTTTTGAAGAAACCTCCGAATACTGACTTTAAGCTATTCAAATTGCGCTGGGTGATCTGAAAAAAGATGGATAGCATCTTCAAGGAAAAATCTGAAACAGAGGAAAGCTAACCTGAGTGGTTCTATGTATCTCATCGAGATTCCGCTCGGTTCTTTCCAGTTTCTCACGCTGCTCCAGCAAGTCCTACAATACAACAAAGAATAATACTCGAATCGCCCGAATACTAGACTTATAGATTGCTTTGGATTATTACGAGTGCCAGCCGCGAAAAAATCAGGATGGTAAGACAGATAAAGGGCTTACCAGTGCATCGACACGTGAATAGGAACACATGGGGTGAACACAGGAACAGGAATAAGGCGTTAATTATAAGTAAGGATTTGGGATTTGCTTACAGACCTACATCTTAGTTGAAAGGTAAGCAGGAGAGGAATCGTATCGGGTCGCTACGGAGAGATTTTTCCTCGTTTCATGGACGCTATAAGGGGTAGGAGGTCGTATTTGCTCGTTGTTGGGAAAATTTGCAGCTTTGGGAAGAAAATTCGCATCAGAGGAGAGAAATAGGGGGTCGCATTTCACGCAAGGTCACGGTGGTCATGCAGCTTTAAATGGAAAAGAGAACGCATGCGAGAAGTAATTCATTGAAGTTCGAAAGTTCGAGCTCAAGCAAACCAAAGGCACCCCTTTTAGATGAAACACTAACAGATAACCAATCAAGTACCTGAGCAGTTTGTGATCCGATTCGTTCTGAATTCTCTAGATGACGTCTCGATCTTTCTGTGCTGTCGAGAGATTCTTGCATATATTTCTCAATCTCACGTTCATAAAAATCGGCTTCATCCTCGATGTTATTCGAATGCGTCGTGTAACTTTTCAATTTGTCTGAAAAGAAAAAGGTAGAGAGGAAGAGACATGCAACAAATCTGCTTCCAATATCGAGAATTATTCAGCAAAGCGAGATTTCCAGCAACAAGAAAAAGAAATTCAAATAAACTGACTGTTGCTCGTTGCACTGCTGCTCCTGTAATCGTCATCGAAAGGGTTCGCCATCACGTCAAGCTTGAGCAGACTGAAGAACTTGTCAAAAATAAAAGCTGATGGTATGAGAATAGGTCAATGTTTAGAAAATCGAGAAACATCAACAAAAAAAACTAAAAACTAAGCGCAGACCCACTCAGATCTGAATTTATCACAGCGCTACGAGAAAAGAAATCACAAGTCCACTGGCACGTTCGAATACCCTATCGATTTCGGTAAAAGGATCGCGCTTAGCCTACCACTACGAAGATCGTCTTCTCCCCACACAACGGCTACAATACAGAGCAAAGTTAGAAGATAACTATACTTGATTTCAACAAGTATAAAAACATTTCTATACAAACAAGTATGTGTACATTTATTCACCCCAGATCTAAGAAGAACACGTCTAAAGCTACAACGTATATTTGCACATGTCAATTAATACTATGAGCAATTAGATA